CCCAATGCTAAACCAAAATAAAACACGTTCTCTAAAGAACAGTCACAATTATTCTCAATTTTATCATAGATATATGTACAAAGAATCATAAGTATCAGCTCACCTGATCAGAATAATTTTCTTATAAAGAAAAACACCCTTTACACACCCTTTCACAGAGATACCATTGGATGATTTATGTTGAAACCCAACCAATCTGAACAAATGCCTATCAAATTTTGCACACTGTGTTCTTTAATTTTCCAGTTTAACATAAAACTTAAAAATTATAAAACACTATAAACACTGTCATCAATTGTAAGCCATACCTTTATATGGTTCTCAATACATGAAATATTCTTTATCATAAGCTACAGTACAAACAGCATATTTTAACTACTGATTTTTTTTTAAGTAAATGTGAATTGTAGGATTTGGCTAGGATATTCTGATATAATAATAAAACTCAAATTACTTCATGCATAATCTGAAAAGTTCCAGATGTATTTGACAGTGGTTTTTAAAATGTAAACATACCCTTTTCCTTTTGCAATTGCGTTATTGTTCCATTAAAAACAGAGTTTATGTATACAACAACTAATTATTATATCTCTAAATATCTATGCAATCATGATAAGAATAACCAAAAACAGAAGTCAAAATCACATTCTTGATTTGTTTGAAAATGCAGACACAGTATTAAGAAGCCATTAACTCTGCCTGAAATATTTTCAAAATTATTTTTGGTTATCAATTGTAACCATGAGTCATTTCAGAGAGGCCTATAGGTGCTACATACAATAATTTATGGCATCTAGACTCTCCCATCAACAGCTTCTATTGTGCAAATATGCTAAAATAGAATTTCCCTGAGATGAACAATCTTGCTGGCCCACAGAAAAGTAAATATAGCAAAACTACATTCAGATTTTAATCTGAACTATAGTTTAATCTGACACCCACTCAAAATGACTGCTAATAAATTTTTATCATCAGTTCATTTGTGCTAATAGTTCTTTTCAGTGGCTATTTATACATTTGTTTGTAAACTAATGTACTCAGAGGATTTGTTTAAAGGCACACATGAATAGCTACGTTAGAGATAACTTTCAAGTGTAAAAATCAGGAAATATCTTCTATGCTTTTAAGTATATTAACATTTAGTTACTTCCAAGGTAAAGAAAATGCATTTAAAAAGTAGTTTCCTAAATACCCATGATGCTCATGTCAGAAGAGTTTTACAAAAGATCAATCAGAGCACTAATTAGTTAAAAATATATATTTTTTGTTCATGTAACGAGGTAGGAGGATCTCACTCATATGTATTTTTAATTAGCAAGGCATTCACATTAAACAAGTTCTTCTCATTGAATGGTCTGTGAAATACTGCTGAGATAATTTTCAGACTTCATTATAAAATCTGTCCACTCTTGACAAACATCCTCCATGGAGAATTCTTCACCACCATATTCCAGAGGAAGAATGCCTGGGAAATGCTGAAGTAAGCTTTGTTTGAAATTGGTCCCATGCATATGAATCTGAAATAGCCAAAATGTTTTAGGTTTGTTTTCTGCCTCTTGATACATTAGATGAATTTCCAGTGGAAAATCAACACCACAAAAGAAGGTACTCTAATAGCTTCCAGGATAGGAGACCATGTACTGGTATAGATACTACATCCTTTATTCCTCTACTTATGAATCTAAGAATTCTACTTGTTTCGATTATGCTGCTTATGAATCTGATCTTACTGTCTTCTTATATTTGCATTATTATAACTAGACAAGATTTATAAAAAAAATTATCTTTCTCTTTCACAAATATACTTTTAAAACTCTAAATAAAAGTATTTTATACATTCTATTCCCTCATGTACAAGTGATTCTTAACAAAATATCAAATATCCTGGGACTATTCTGTAGATGGTAAAAATGTCCTATCTGGTATTATTTCATACTAGAGGCCCGGTGCACAAAAAATTGTGCACTCGGGGGGATTCCTCCCGCTTTGACCAATTAGTCCCCATTAATGAGAATTAAGTCCAGAGTAGCAGCTCCCTGATTAGATTCCCCACCCTCTGCTCCGCAGCTACACTCACCAGCCATGAACCTGGCTTCTGGCTGACAGAGCTGCCCTTGTAGGAGCGCACTGACCACCAGGGGGCAGTTCCTGCATTGAGCATCTGCCCCCTGGTGGTCAGTGTGTGTCACTGTGACCAGTCATTCCCAGTTGTTCTGCTGTTAGGGTCAATTTGCATATTACCCTTTTATTATATAGGATAAAGTAAAAGCATAAAATTAAGTATATGGGAAATAATTTATGTGATACATTTGGATACTCTTGGCTAGTACAAAATTAAGAGACAGTTATGATGGTTAAAAGCCTTAAAATTTCAAATATTTTAAACTATAAAAATCAATCATATAATGCCCAAGTTAAAGATTTGGAACCTTGGATCAAAAGCATATAATGTTCATCTATACATGTAACAATCCTATATAATAAAAGGCTAAAATGCAAATACACCAAACAGTGGAACAACCAGAACAACCGAACATCCAAACAACTGGTCGCTATGACGTGTGTGTGGAACATGGTGGGCATTGGCTGTGGTGGGATAGTGGAGGAGGTGAGCGGGGGTGCCAGACCAAGGCGTAGCACCAGTCGCTGTCATTGGGGCAAGCCTCCGGTAGTTACTGAAAATTCTTTGCTCCTTTGCTCCGCGGTCCTGCCCAGCTCTCGCACCTGCTGCCAACGCTGGCCCCACTTGCACCCACTGCTGGCACCTGTCCCAATCGCTCCATGCTGTCAGTGGGTGTGAGTGGGGCCGGTGCCATCAATGTGTGGGAGCCACAGTGCGGGAGCGGGGATGCTGGCAGACAGGGGACTGGGGGTCATGGCGGGAGGGTGCAGAGGATGAGCTGAGACCCACCCCTGTGCCTACCACAGCCTCACATACTGAAGAGTCCCAGGTTCGGTTCTGGTCAGGGGCACATGCCTGGGTTGCGGGTTTGATCCCCAGTGGGGGGTGTTCATGGGGCAGCCAATCAGTGACTCTCTCTCATCATTGATGTTTCAATCTTTCTCTCCCTCCCTTCCTCTCCAAAATCAATAAAAATATATTTTTTTAAAATAACGTAGCATACCATAAACACTCTTCTGCATTTTGCTTATTTCACTTTACATCTTACAAATCTTGTATTCCATTGTGTCGATGTCTCACAGTTCATTTAACCAGTCCCCTGATGATGAACACTTGGTGATTTCCAATCTTTTGCTGCAATTTTGTTTATGTGTGGATAGGATAAATTGCCAGAAGCACAAAGGCTGTAATTTTGATAACTATTATATACTGCCCTCTACAGGGAATATACCATATTGCACTCCCACCAGCAATGTGCAGGAGGCCCAGTTACCCCATAGACTCACTAACTTGATTTTCCAAAATTAAAAAGAAATATCCTATATAATAAAAGTGTATTATACTAAGTGTCCGACCATTTGGTCGGCCACTCAACCAGTTGCATGATGCGCACTGGCCACCAGGGGGCATATGCTCCAACCAATAGGTTAGCTTGCTAATGGGGTCTGGGCAATCGGGACTGGGTGAGAGGGCCGGACACACCCTGGAGCCCTCCCGTAGTCCCTCCCTGGCCAGCTGGCCCCCATTGGCCCGGATCACCCACCAGGCCGAGGGACACCACCCGTACATGAATTTGTGCATCAGGCCTCTAGGTAATTTATAAGAGTATTTGGCCTGTTAGATAAATACTCAAAATGTTAGCTTAATGGTGGTGGGTACTTAATAAAACAACTCTTAAATGAAAAAGGATTAGAACATTTGGTAGAGAGGAATAGTGACTTGAACATGGTACACTCACCCGTTCCTTAATTTTTTCAGTCAGGAATGGTTTAATCATGGAAAAGACAGCATGAAAAACTATTGGCTCATTTATCAAATGGATACCACGAACTTTTAATGGAAAGGAATCCTTTTGAAAATAAAGAAAAAAGTCTATTAATAATAAAGCATAAATAAATATATATTTCTATTGACAAGTCCCTTCCTTGAACACTTGGTAAACTTATGACAGCAACTAATGTCTGTTTCATTTTTTAAATTTCTTATTTCATCACCACAACACAGACTGCTTTACAGTTCACTGTTACTAGATTAAGAAAAGATCTTTGCCCTAACCGGTTTGGCTCAGTGTGGATAGAGAGTCGGCCTGTAGACCAGAGGGTCCAGGGTTTGATTCCGGTCAAGGGCATGTACCTTGGTTGCAGGCTCCTCCGCTGCCCAGGCTAGTGCAGGAGGCAACCAATCGATGTGTTTCTCTCACATGGATGTTTCTCTCTGTCATTCCCTCTCTCTTCCGCTCTCCCTAAAAATCAATGGAAAAATATCTTCGGGCAAGGATGAACAAAAAAATAAAAAAATAAAGAAAAGATTCTTAAAAAGTATTTACTTTATAGCTTAGGCAAATAGAAATACCTGCATCTTTCGTAAATAAGACACAAAAAATTTCTCCCCCTATGACATATAAATGTTCCCTTAAGAAACCAATGAGTGTCAATAATTAACCTTTTCCCTAAAATTTTTAGTTTGAGAAAAAAAAATAAAACTTCCATTAAAGTTGAAAGAATAGTCCAATAAACACACATTTTAAAACTTTTGACCCAGGTATAAGTCTTTAACATAAAAGTAATTTGGCTTATTCAGAAGATTTCAAAGAGTTGAGTTGAAAGAAAAAATGTTATCAGTAGTTTCCCTACCCAAAGATGTATTGTTAGTGTAGAATCCTTTCCTGTCAAGGTGCTTTCATACAAAATTCTTTTTTTTAAAATATATTTTATTGATTTTTTACAGAGAGGAAGGGAGAGGGATAGAGAGTTAGAAACATCCATGAGAGAGAAACATCGATCAGCTGCCTCCTGCACGCCCCACACTGGGGATGTGCCCGCAACGAAGGTATATGCCCTTGACCGGAATCGAATCCAGGACCCTTCAGTCCGCAGACCGATGCTCTATCCACTGAGCCAAACTGGCCAGGGCCAAAATTCTTTTTTTTTTTTCTTCCCTATGCAAAGCTTTTAGAGATGTGTTCTCTATCTGGGGCTTTTCCTTCCAGATTCTTGCTAAGCCTAATTTTATTTTAAACAGAATTGCTAATATGCTCTCTAAATCATTCCTATCCTGTTTTGTACCATGGATATGATACAATTTTGTAAACATCATGGCTTTTAATATGTTGCAATAATCAATCAGATGGATGCACCATACTTTAAGTAACCATTTTCCTATTTCTGGACAAATAAGATGTTTCTAATAGTATCCTATAAGAATTGATGCCACAGCACCCATCTTTATGCGTAGGAGGCAGTGATGGTTGTAAGCACAGCTTTGAATTCAGCTGATCTGGACTGGAACCTTTGCTTCACTGCGGACAAAATGCATGTGCTTGGGCATTGCTGTCACCTCTCTGACATAGTTAATTAATTTGTAAAATGGGAAAAATAATGGTCATACGACATAGGCTTGTATGGACCCGTTACATGGTAATTCATTTGAATTACTTAGCCAGGTACCTGGCACACAATACACTATTATCATTTTATACAAGGTCTATGCTATATTTAAGATTATTCCTTGGCTACATTCCCCAAAGGAGGATTACAAGGTCAAAAATCATGGCCACTTACAAAAGCTTTTGATTTCTAAAAGAACTGTATCAATTTATACCTACCAAAACATTTGTAGCATTTTGGTGTGCTGTTGCTATATTATTTTTTTCATTCAATTTTTTAATTTAGGAAGATAATTTTAATGACAGAAAGATAAAGTGAACACATTATTGTTTAAATGTATACATTCGGTGGTTACTCATCTTGAACATATTTTTACAATTTGTTGCAACAGTCTTTCTTTTATGAATTAATAACATTTCCTCTTAGTATTATTGAGTTCTATGTATCATTTCTAAAATTTGATTTGATTTTCTAATAAACGTTCTATCCCTTCTCTTTGTATCACACATAACTAAATTAAAATCTGTTGTTTGGAGGTATTCTCCCAAGGAATTAAACTATACACTTACTGTAAGGACAGCAGCAATCTTCTTGGCTACAGATGGGGTAATTTGAAAAGCATGAGAAAAATGCCAGCCTTCCAGATCAAAGACAGCCTTGATTCCGTTCCGTTGGGTCTCTACCTCCTGTACAATAAGCTCGGATGTGATTAGACTTAAACGGAATACATCATAAACTGTAAACACTTTTGGGTCCCAGTGTGCTATAAAAAAAAAAAGAGAAAGAAAGAAAGAAAAAATAACATATCTCAGTATTGCATAAAAAAACAGAAAGCAAAGGGAAACTGATTCTTTTTAGACTTAATGGATCAATAAAAATAAAAACAAGTACAAAGATCACAAAGTGAATAATAGACCAAATGAGTGGCCCCAAAACATGTGCCTGCTTCTCCCTAGCGCAGAACAGCTTTTTAAGAATATGGGACAGCCAAAACCGGTTTGGCTCAGTGGATAGAGCGTCGGCCTGCGGACTGAAGGGTCCCAGATTCGATTCCGGTTAAGGGCATGTACCTGGGTTGCGGGCACATCCCCAGTGGGAGATGTGCAGGAGGCAGCTGGTCGATGTTTCTCTCTCATCGAAGTTTCTAACTCTCTATCTCTCTCCCTTCCTCTCTGTAAAAAATCAATAAAATATATTTTAAAAAAAAAGAATATGGGACAAAAAAAAGAATAAATACAGCCCGGCCGGTGTGGCTCAATGGTTGAGCATTGACCTATGAACCAGCTCACTGTTGGATTCCCGGTCAGGGCACATGCCCAGGTTGCTGGCTCGGTCCCCAGTAGAGGCCGTGTAGGAGGCAGCTGATCAATGATTCTCTTTCATCGTTGATGTTTCTATCTCTCTATCCCTCTCCCTTCCTCTCTGAAATCAATAAAAATATATTTAAAAAAATAAAACAAATACTCATGGCATTTATTTATTTAAAAAAAGAAGAGAAATGCAGCAGGCTGGACTTGATAGCCGGATGAAACTACAGCCCAAAGCATGCAGGAAACAGCGGTAGCTAAAGATGGGAATGCCTGTTGGTGTGCTACAAGCTCAGAGGCATTGGACATGGGAGAAGCACAACCTGGATTATGAAGAGAAACTAGCGCTCTATAGTAGCCAGAGAGGTTGCAAAAGGAAATGCCTGAGGACTAGACAGGTTGGCTGATGTCTCTGACATCACTGAGTGACAACCAGCATGTAGCAGAGTCAGGTCCTGACAGGCTAGAACAGTAAGTGTGGGCTTTGGAAAACAGGGAAGCACCCACGTAGCTGCCCACACCCAGGAAAAACAGGAATATCTGTGCTAAGAAGAGGAGTTACTGGCATTCTTCTCCTCTCTCCTCCCCGACCATTCCTGGAGCAGGCCACGACATGCAGAAAGGACAGTAATGGACAGGCTAGCAGATAATCTTAAAAAATATATATGCACATAGACACCCACACCTGAAACCTGTATGTTCATGTTGGCCAATGTTAACCCAATCAAGTTAATTAATAAATAAAAGTATATTAAAATATATCACCTACTAAGTTGTAATAGCCACATTTCAAGTACTCAACAGCCACATGAGGCTAGTGGCTACTGTAGAACAATTTCATCATCATAGAAAATTATATTAGACTAGAGGCCCAGTGCATGAAATTCGTGCACGGGAGGGGGTGTCCCTCCGCCTGGCCTGCACCCTCTCACAGTCCGGGACCCCTTGCTCCTTACCACCTGCCGCAGGGGTGGGAGAGGCTCGAGGTGGAAGAGGCTCCTGCCACAGCCACTGCACTCCCCAGCCATGAGCCCAGCTTCTGGCTGAGTGGCACTCCCCCTGTGGGAGCGCACTGACCACCAGGGGGCAGCTCCTGCGCGGAGTGCCTGCCCCCTGGTGGTCAGTGCGCATCATAGTGACTGGTCGTTCTGGTCGTTCTGCCATAACGGTCACTTAGGCTTTTATTATATACATAGTTCTGGACTTTAATCTCCTTTAAGGCAAAAGAAAAACGTGCCTTGCCAAACCGGTGGGTCAGTGG